CCCCAGCTGTGCTGGTGTCCATGGGCTGCAGTCAGCCCACCTGGCATAACAGCCACCTCCTCCCTTGCATACAGCCCAGCCAGGCACCCATGTCACCCCCGAGCTGAGCTCCAGCACCCTCTGAGGCCGAGGCCAGCAGCTTTCCTGTGCCCATGCAGGGCACCCCTCTGCCTTGCCTCCCACCTGTGCCAGGGGTGGTGTCAGCCTCTCTGCCTTCATTTGGGGACCACTGCCCAGCTGCCATGGCTAGCTTTAATTGGTTGAACCAATTAATTGGTCAAAAGATTTACATCTGTTTCCTTCTCTCTCTCTTCCCCTTCTGCCTACCCTGCTCCAACCTGCCCTCCTCTCCTCTCTTCCCCTCCCCACCCTCCCACCCAAATAGGCAAGGAGAGCAGTTTGGGAGAGGCTGACTTGCAGCCGAGCTCTGACCCTTCGGGAATGGACAGCAGCTACCTCAGCGTGAAGGAGGCCGGGGTCAAAGCGTCCCAGGACAGGGCCAGCACGGACCTCCCCAGCCCCATGGACAAGGCCGACTCGGAGAGCAACAAGGGCAAAAAGCGGCGGAACCGCACCACCTTCACTAGCTACCAGCTGGAGGAGCTGGAGAAGGTCTTCCAGAAGACCCACTACCCAGACGTCTATGCCAGGGAGCAGCTAGCCATGAGGACAGACCTCACCGAGGCTCGTGTGCAGGTAATGGGGGATGCCCTGGGGCTGGGCGAGGGGTGGGTGAGCTGCAAACAAGCCCCTGCTCTCTGGGGAATGGAAACGTGAGACCTGCAAATTTGTTGTCCCTGAGGTCACCTGTAGCCCCACCAGAGCCTACAGGCAACCAAACCCTACACAGAGCCCGTGCTGCAGACTGGCACACCTCTCCAGGATGCTGAGGCACAGGCACAGGATGGGGAGGTACCTCCATGTCTGACACTAGCATCAGCTCCTTTTTTGGGCTGGTGTCCCGAGCTGCAGCATTCACAGAGAGGCCTCTTGTCCTTGAGCTAGCAGGGCAGCAGGCAGGTAAGCCTCACCGTCACCCTAAACGAAGCTATTACAAAACCTGCTTTCTTCATGAGACTCAGCCTGGGGCACAGGTTCATTAGTCTGAGTGGGAGCAAGCTTTCCCACAGTGTGGGCTTTTCCTGGCAAGATGGGGATGCGGAGGCAACCAGGACGTTCAGCACAAGAGAGCATGAGGGGATACAGGAGAGGCAGCTCTTGCTCCCTGCTGGGCTAAGCAGGCACTGAGACTGGATGAAGCAAAAAGGTGCTCCCACCATCTTGAGAGCAGCAGGAGAGTCAAACAGCTGTGCTGCAGTCTCACTGCCTCTACCCATGCAGGTGCCAGCTCCCATGAACTAGCTCCCCTGAACTACCTGGGGGTCCAGCAGAGCCAAACTCCACACTGAAGGAGGGAATGATTCTCTGAATGCTGCTCCTTCCTCTGAATCAAGGTTAAACCGAAGGCCTGGCAGAGCTCAGAAGCATTTGCAGAAAGGAGCACCATCACTTGGAGCGGACATCCACAGCTCACGCCTCGATGGCCATCAAAGGTCCCGCTGAAGCTTAGGCTCTCGTTCTCCAGTCTAGCTAATCCTGTGACTTCCGTCTGCAGGCATTTATCAGCTCACCACCCCCAGCACCTGCGTTAGCATCCAGAATAGCTGGCGTGTGGAGGCATCTGATTATCCTCGTGTACCAGGAAGACTCCCAGGTCCCAGGCAGTCCAGCTCGCCCTCTGCTCTAACCTTTGCAAGCGGTTGTTGCGAACAGTTGAAGCAGTCAGGCCAGCATCCTTGCATAAGTCCGTTCTTCTCTGTACATTCACTTCCAGTTTTGACTAGCTACAGGATTTTTCTTGTCTGCTTGCCTAAATTGGTTTGCAGGGCTGGTGTGCTCTTCTTCCCCACAGCTGTTTCTCTTCAGGCTGGACATGGCTGCATTTCAGTAGAAAGCAGCGTGATTCCCGTTGGTCCCACGCGTAGCATGCTGAGCGCTGAGGGATGGGCAGAGGAAGGCAACGCTACAAATGTCAGCTCTTTACTTCTGCCACTGGACACGGCCCCTGATTTCCCAGGGACACATCACAGGTGCTGATGGGGTCTCCTGGGAGGCCAGGCGCAGTGTTGCCTTACCAACTGCACAGGGCATGAAATTCCTTGTGCTCAGGAATGAGAATGAGGTGCTGGAGGGTGGCGAGCTCCTCCTGCTCGCCTCTGAGCCAGGGTGTGCAGCTGGCACATCCCGGCTAGCGTGCAGGGCTGGCTAGCAGAGCCAGGCCAGGCAGATGCAACCCACAAGTTCATTACACACGGCCCACGATCTCAGGGAAAAACCCCCACTTTACCATCGGATAACACTGTGGAGGAGGCAGAAGCACGTCCCCAAGCAGCCAGCAGGAAATCTGGCGGAGGGAGGGTGTAAACTCACCCTGCCCTGAGATAAGCACCCCAGCAGCCCGCTGCCATGGGCAGCTGAGAACAGCCTCTCTTCTTGTGACCACCAGCTCACACCTCTCGCTTGTGATGGCGATGACAGGGCTCATGTAACGGAGCGGCTGAGGGACTTGTCTAAGTGGCCTGGCAGCTCAAGCACTTACCCCGGGGTGAAAGGGGGAGCACTTGCATTTCATTCATTCCCCCAGCCCACTGGGAAGGACCCCATCCCTTGGGCTGCAGGCTGGCACCCACCCAGCCTTGCGATGAAGGGCTGCCCTGCCGTCAGTAGAAATGCAGGCTCCCTATCACCGGAGAGCGAGAACCAGCAGGCTCGTGCCCAGGGCTGTGGGTGCTGGCTGGGCAGGCTCAGGGGCACCCTGGGTGCTGGGTATTTCATGTGAATTCCCAGGGGGCTGGGGCTGCCAGCTAGTGAGCTGATCAGCCTTGGCATGGTGGTGGCAGCCCCAGGAGGCATGGGGACACAGCCTGGGGTGGCACAGGGCTCTTCTGCTGATGGCACAGGGCTGCGCTTCCCATGAGGAAGGCTTTCGGGGATGGGGCTGTAGTGAATCACCCTAGCGCCTCTCTCAAGCTCTGGGTTGTGTTATAGCTTGTTTAGGCTTGGCTTTGGCCTCCCACACCTCTGGGCAGCTCTGCTCTGTGGGGGCCTCCCCATGCCAGCACTGCAGCACCGAGAGCCATCAGCTCAGAGCTCAAGAGCAGGTACGGGCATGGGGCAGGAGACTGATGGCAAAGAAAATGCCTACTGCAAGGACCAAGGGCCCAGCCAGGACCAAGACGAGGGCAGAAATCACAAATAAGCCACAAACCCCTTACTCCTTTCCTCCTGCAAGCCAAATAGCTGCTCTGTGCTCAGAGGCCCTCCACCAAGCTGGCAGGGGCTCTGGCTGCTGTGGGGTGTCTGGGCACACATCTACTGCAGCCCCATGGGCTTTGAGGGGAGCTCAACAGTCCCTCTCCCAAGGAAGGTACAGTCCTCTAAGGGATGGCGAGTGCCCTGGGATAATTTCATGGAGGCCAGCTTCAGGTGCCTGCAAGGCTGAACTAAGCAAAGCAGAGCAGCAGGCAGGCGAGCAGGTTTGAGGCGTGATGCTCCCTCCCACGGATGAGCCAGCTTTTGGCTGGAGGTGGTCCCCTCTGGCCAGGCTTGGCTCCCTGGGGAGTGCAACCAGCCTCCACACTGCAAGCAGGAGCAGATGCGGAGCCCAGACAGGCAAGTGGCAGCTCTGGGGTTTTTTTCCATCCCTTTCCCAAGCTCACGCTTCATTAGCGAAATAGCTGCCGGAGATCTTGGTGTCTGGAGAAGAGCTCATGCCAGCAGCGGGCACGGGGTGGGCCATGCTCTCTGCAGAGCAGTGGCATCCCACAGCCTGGCCCCTCTCCTCCCCATTTCTCTCCCTGCTTTGGTTTTCAGCCATCAGTGCTGGTGCCTGACAATGTCAAAGCTAATTCCCCCTGCAATGCAATGCAATGTTTTCCCTCCCTGCCCCCCATGACCTGGCCCCTCATTGCCAAGTACCATTAAGCTACTGTACATCCCTGTTTTCCAAAGTGGGAGCCGTGCATAAGCCCTGCACAGAGGCAGAGCCACCCAGCCTGGAAAAGGCTGCTAGGGCTCAGAAACAAACCTGCAAGGGTGTGCAGCGGATGCTGTTTTCATGTAGGTCCTACATACCATGTGCATCCCATTCCTTTCTCCTCCTCTTCCACATCTGGGGCTGCAGAGCCCCGCAAAGAGCTCCTGCTCGGTACCAGCAACTGCCTGAGCTTCTTCCAGCCCATCCAGGGCTGCAGCAGATGTCTGAGGCGGTGGCAGTAGAGAAACACGGTAGGCATGCACATGTATTCACACATGGCTCCCTCCCCTTGCATGCAGCCACACACATCCACATCCCCAAGGCCGTGCCAGCCTGGCACCGGCTGCTCATCCCTCTTGGGCTGTGAGTATCTCGGCCTCCTGGCTTTCCCTGTGCCAGAGGAGAAGGAGATGGGCTGGAAGGAGGCTTTGCGGCCAGGGAATATAACCCCTCAGCCACCCCGCCTCAGAGCCAGCCTTATGATTGCTGGGACCGTTAATGAAATGTTTTCGGCGGTGACCCTGTGATGCAGCCGGGGCATGAAAGTGAGAGGGAAATGTCAAACTCTGCTGTAGCGAAATCACTGCCTTGGAAAAAAAAGAAAAGAAAAAAAGCAAAGCAAAGCAAGAAGTAATATATCTTGATCCCTTTTCCCCCATAAAACCCTGGGAGGCTGGTGGAAGGAGCGGAAAGACTGAGCTAAGCCTGCAGGAAATTAAACATGAAATGAAAACAAGCTCAAGTTATTCAATTCTCTCATCCCAGGCTCCAATTTCCCATTCCAGGCCACTGATAAAATGGTGTCCAGTTTCAGTGCTCAGGGATGAATTCTGGCTGTGTTCTTGCAGGCTGGAAAGCAAAGGGCTGGTGGCCATCCCCGGGAGGAGGGAAGACGGCCTGGCTGGTAGCAGAGGGATGGGGTCCTGGGGACAGACAGACAGACAGACACATGGACTGAGCAGAGTGAGGAGGGCAGCGTGACTCGGGGGACAGGGACGGGCAGAGTGGATGCTGCGAGGCTGCCAGGGGAGAGCGGGAGGCTTGGACGCGGTGGGCAGCGCTCGCCTGCTGCCGGGCAGCGATGTGGCGAGGGGAGCTGGAGCCCAGGGCGTGGGGCTGGATCCAGCCCCATGGCTGCTGCCAACCCACCGTCACACGTGCAGAGGCCAGCCTCGCTCTCCATCGCTGCGCTGGGACGGGCAGGAGGGAGGGTAAATCACCTTTTTCTTTAACTTTGAGGAAGGACGAATGCAGCAATACAGTCCCCAACCATCCAGCCATGGCCAGAGGGGCCTGGGTGAGGTCCTGGCTCAGCCCATCCACCCGTGCCCTGTGTGGGGCATGTGGGGCTTGGTGGCAGGGGCAGACCAGCCACAGCACTATGCTAGCTACTGTGAAGAAAATTAACTCTATCCCAGCCGAAACCAGGACAGTGTCTCAGGCCGTTCCTGGCCTCTCTGCCTCCCGCCGCACATCAGCTGTGTATGCATATGGATTTAGGTACCAGCATATGGCTGAATGTTTATGGAGACATGAAACATTTTCTGTTCTGTAGATTTTTATAGGGCTGATTTGGTACATCGGGGCTTATCAAAGCATTGTCTGCAGGAGTCAGATACATGACATTACCCTACACTCCCACTCTAATTGTTAACATGGAGATGCAGCCCACAGTGGCTGCTTATCCCTGCCCCATCCTGACCCCAGAGGACACGCTGCACCGACTGCTGCAGCCTCCGCTGCCACATCCCTGTCCCATAGCTGCCTCTCTTGGCTAAAGGCGACAGGAAAATGGACTTCTATTGGGTTTTAGATTTGCTGTTTAAAAGCAGGTGTTTTCTAAGATTGAGGCTGCAAGGAAATACTTAGGATTAGTTGGTTTTCATGTTATATATTGCCCTGCCTGCCCTGTTTTCCCTGGAGCACTTGCAGAGGCCTGGGGAAACGTAGCTGCAAGATACAAGCAGCCTAAAAGAACTTGGACCAGAGGAGAAAGGAGAACTTTAACAAGTGGTCCCAACCTTGTTACAAGCATTTTGGAGCGGTGGCTCGCTGCCAGCCCTTGGAGCACCTCCAGTGCCCTCGGCACCAGCGCTTGGACTGAAGACACTCCTCCTTCCAGCCTAACGCGACAGTTTGCCACAGCTTCCCAGCCCACCAGCCACGTGGGGACTGCAATTTGGGAACTGCCAGTTTAAACCATTTTGCTCTGCCAGCGCTAGTTCAATTCAATGTGTGAATGAGGAGCAGCAGAGGAAAACCCTGTGCTGGAGACCATGTTCCACCTCAGCTGGCCCCAGGAAACCTCCCCGCGGCGCCGGCAGGCCCAGGGAAACCAAGAGCACAAAACCCACGCTGACAGCTTCAGAGGTTGGGCTGCAGATCTGGGCACGGCCACGGGAGCCTGCGCTT